CCCATGTCTTGACATGGGCAGCTTTCCCAAACTCCAGCACATTCCATACAGCCGGGATCCACCTGGAGCTGCAGGTGGGTGTTGGAGACTTTTCCAGTCTTCCAGCACCAGTGGGAGCTGCCGGGCCCCCCAGCCACTGGAACACAGCTCCAGTGGCTTCCCAGAGCCAGGAGATCCAGGTTCTGTGCTGGCCCAGGCTGGTTCCATGGGAGGGGATCCAAAAGGGAAAGGATCCACAAGGGAAGGGATCCAGAAGGATCTGGAAGGGAAGGGATCTGGAAGGAAAGGGATCTCCAAGAGAAGGGATCCACAAGGGAAGGGATCCCCAAGGGAAGAGATCCACAAGGAAAGGGATCTGGAAGGATCTGGAAGGGAAAGGATCCACAAGAGAAGGGATCCCCAAGGGAAGGGATCTCCAAGGGAAGGGATCCCCAAGGGATCCCCAAGGGAAGGGATCCACAAGGGAAGGGATCCCCAAGGGAAGGGATCCACAAGAGAAGGGATCCCCAGGGGAAGGGATCCCCAGGGGAAGGGATCCACAAGAGAAGGGATCCCCAGGGGAAGGGATCCACAAGGGTCCCCAGCACGCAGCACTGTCAGGGTTAACCGAGCGCTTCCAGGAGCCGGCTGCAGAGCAGGCGAGGACACACGGACACGCGTGCCGAGGGCGCACGGACACACATCTGGGAATGCCGCGCAGGCTCCGCGCTCGCCGACGCCTCCGTCACCCCCCACATCCTTCTCTCCTTCCCAGCCGGTGGAGCCGCCCGCTCCTGTCTCTCCGCAGCTCTTTCCCTCCTTCCATCCTTCCTTCCATCCATCCTTCTGTCCGTGCCCGTGTGTGTGTGTGCGTGTGTTGGTGTCCGAGGGGTGGGCTCCCCGTCTCTCTCCGCAGGATCCTGGCGCTCCGGGGGCGGAGGGCTGCTTTTCCTTCTCTCTCGCAGGAATTCAGCTTCTCTCTCTTGTATTTCCCTTTTCTTTCTCCCCCGGAACCCGGCCGCTGTAGCGATCTAGACAGAGACTTTTGGAATAACAATGACAACACAGTGCAGCAGAAATGGAGCTCCTACCCTCCCAAGGAGTTTATCCTAAACATTTCTCCTTACGCTCCGTACGGTGATCCGCGCCTTTCCCTCAAGTGAGTCTCTCCTTACCGAGTTTGCTCCGTGTAGTGAGTATATGGGCAGCACCCACTCGCCTTCCTCCTCCTCCTCTTCCTCCCCCTTTCCCTCCTCCTCCTCCTTCTCCTCCTCCTCTCGCTCCCGGGCTCCCCGCACGCCACCCCATGGGCCGTCCCATGGAGACGAGCAACCCCTCCTTCCCGCATTCCCGGGGACGGCCGGGATCTCCCTCCAGGACGGGGTTGCGCGTTGGGGGCACCCCCTCGGTGGGGGACGGGTCCCCCCGGGGCTGGGCTGCCGGCGAGCGGGACCCTCCCCCCGACCCTCTCCCTCCTCCGCCCTTTCTCTTGGATGTTTTGCCGAGGCCCCCCGCGCATCCCGCGGCCAGGATCCCCCCCCTTTTTTATTTGCAGTGCTGATGTCTCTCTTTCTCTCTCTGTCTGTCTGTCCGTCTCTTGTCCGTCTGCCCCCTCCGGCTCTGTCGCACTCCCCTCATTCCCCGACGGCTCCCCACGTCCATCCGTGTGTCCGTCCGGCTCCTTTCGTGTCTGTCTGGGGGGGTCCGGCCGCCGGCCCGGCCCAGTGGCTCTCTGTTATCAGGGGCCAAACTGACGGCGTCGGCCGCCGCCGGGCTGTCCGGGGACCGCGACGGCCGGCCCGGGGACAAGCAGCGGCTCGGCGAGGATGGAATGAGGAGCAGCGTGTCCGCCCACAGCGAGCCCGGAGCTGGAAAGGCGGCACGGGGCCGCTGGCACACGGTGCAGAGCCACTTGGCCGCAGGGAAGCTCAGCCTGTCCAAGTGAGTGAGCACGGCACGGTCCGGCACGGCACGGCCAGGACCGGCGGGCCCGGGGCCCGCTCCCCGCTGCGGATGCGCTTGGATTGGGGACACCGACGGGTCCCCGGGGCCGCCAAAGGGTCCCCAGGACCACCGTGCCGAGGGAGAGGAGGCGTTTCCCGCTCTCCCAGCGGTGTTGGGCTCAGGGGCGGCCGGGCAGGAGCGGCACCTTTGGGCGCTGTCCCAGCGCTGAGGGCGGCCCTGCCCAATCCCGGTGGGAAGCGGCTCAGCATTCCCAGCTCGGCTCCTCAGGGCAGGCAGCGCCACCTCGGTGGTGTCCCAAAGGCAGGAGGAGCTGTCCCGTGCTCCCATCCCTCAGGGACAATCAGGGACAGTGTGTGGCATCTCCCCCCGTCCGTGCGCTCCCTTGGCCCCCGGCACAGCCACCGGACCCGGCGCCGGCACCGCCACCCGATGCCGAGAAAAGTTGGGGGAAGTCCGGAACTTTAGGGATTTAGGGAAAATCCGAGCTCTGCCGGGCTCTGCGGGGCTCCAGGCCGGGGTGGGGGTCTCAGTGAGACCCTTCACTGCTGGCAGCGCCGCGCCTCTGGCGGGGGGTGCCGGCTGTGGCTCCGTCCGGCGTTCCCGGTCCCTGCTCCGCTTCTCCGCGCTGGGCTGCGGCAGCCGGGGGGTCCCGGGCGCTCGGGGACAGCTCGGTGACACCGCCCGTTCTGCTGAGGCTGCTGCGCTCCAGTGGGGCGCTGGGAAGCAGGAGCGAAGGAGAGGCGAGGAAAAGCGGGAGCGGCGCAGCCTCCAGCCGTCCCCTCGCTGGGAGCCCGGACAGACGGACGGGACGGAGCAAGGCGGCAGGGGCAGGGTTTAGGGGACGTGGCGGAGCGCCCCGTTCTCCAGCATCCCCCTGGCGCAGCTCCGCCGGGGTCGGGGTGCCCGGGGCTCCGTGCCGAGGGTCGGGCGGTGCCGGTGCCGGGGGATCCGTGCGGACACGGGCACGGGCACGGGCACTGGCATGGGCACGGGCACGGGCACGGGCACGGGCAGGGCGCGGCGCCGCCTGGCACGGCGCTGGAGGAACTCGCGCCTCCAGCTGGCGCGGGGCCGACAGGAGCCAAATTTAGTTTCCTGTGACTGAGAGGTTGTAAATTGAACTAATTTAGGATTCGATAGGAAAACGAAAGGAGGTCGGCGGCAGCGCGGAGGGGGGGGGGGCGGCAGCGTCCGGGCAGTGCCTTTGGCCCCGGCCGTGGGGCTCCGTCCATCCCAGCTCTCCGCTCCTCTCCACTCTCCCTTCCCTCCTCTCTCTCTTTCTCCCACCTTTCGCTCTTTCTTCACCTCCTTTTTTTTTTTGTTCTTTTTGGAGCTGTCTATCCCTCCCCGCTCCTCCTCTGTCCCCGCTGCTGGCACTGCACGATGGCACCGCTTCGGGACGGGGACAGGGTCGGGGGCTGCCGCTCCAGGCCACCCCTCGGTGCCGGGCAGTGGTCCCGGGAGGTCTTTCCTCCCCTGATCTCGTGGCCTCGAGCTCCCCGGGCTGCCGCGGGCTATCCGGCGCGGCTGCATGGGCCGCGCCACGCATGAGCTGCATGGCCAGCGCCGCTTCCTTGGGGCATCCCCCGCTCTCTGCGCTCCGCCGCCCACACGAAGCCCGTGCGCCCCGGGCTCTGCGTCCCACCAGAGCTGCGTCCGTACCCCCCAACCCCGTGATCTCCCGCCCCGGTTGGAGCCTGGCTTGGCCCTGGGTTCGCCTCGCTGCAATGTCACCACCCCGGGGGTTCGGCGATGCGGGACTCCCCGTTCCCGCAGCGCCCAGCACGGAGGGGCAGGGCCGCCGAGCCCCCGCGGCGCTGGGCTGGGCTGGGCTGGGCTGGGAGGGACCGGGCGCCGGGATGGGCTGGCTGGCAGCACGTGAGCGGGCGCCGCGGGATTTGCCTCCCCGCAGCAGCCTCATTATCCCGCAGAGCAGCTCGGCCGGCGTGCTGGGCAGGCGCCGGCGGAGCGGCGGCCGCGGGAGCGGGTGGGCATCCGGCCCTGGCGAGCCCGCCGGGAGGCAGGATGGCGGCGGCCCGAGCCCCCCGCGCCGCCGGCAGGGCCGAGCCGCGGGCGAGAGGCGGAGGATCCGGGCGCTGCCCCCGCTGGCTCCCGCCGGAGCGCTCCCTGCGCTGGGGCATCTTCTCTCTAACTCTCTTCTTTTCCTTCCTCCAATTTTGCCCCTTCACCTTCTTCTCCTTTCTCTCCTCTCCTCTACCCTTCCTCTCCCTAAGTTTCGAGGACTCCACCCTGTCCACAGCCACTACCCTTGAGTATATCCCCACCTCAGCAGGCGATCCCAAATTCCAGAGGCCCCGCACGCTCGTGCGCCAGCAAAGTCTGCAGCAGCCCCTGAGCCAGCACCAGCGCGCCAACCACAGCCAGCCCACCACCAGCCAGAGCCTGGGCCACCTGCAGGCCCACAGCGGCTCCCCCGCCGCCGCCGCCAACTCCCGGGGCTCTCGCGGCGCCGGCCCGGCGCGCCAGGGCACGGCCGCCGGCTCCAAGACACGGATGGCCGGGGGCAGGAGCCGCTCCAACCCCGGCAGCTGGGACCACGTGGTGGGGCAAATCCGCAACCGCGGCTTGGACATGAAGTCCTTCCTGTAAGTGTGCGCTCGCCATCGCTGCCCTCTGCGTTCGCCTCTCCGCCCCCGTCCATTCCTCTCTCCATCCCTTCCCCTCCTCTGTTCTCTCGGCTCCATCACTCTCCATCACCGCTCTGTCCTTCTGCTCTTTTGCTCTCTCCATCGCTCTCCTCCGCTCCTTTGCTCTCTCCATCCCCTCTCCGTTCCTCTCTGTTCTGCTCTATCCCTCTGCTTATCCCTCTCTAGAGCCCTTTCTCCATCCCTCTCTCCTCTACTCCTTCCTTCTGCCCATCCCTCTCTCCTCTGCTCCTCTACTTGCCCCGGCGCGGCCACTCATCTGTCACCCCCTTGGGGACACGCTGCCCCTGGCCTTTGGGAAGGTCCATGTCCCCCCCGGCTCACGGGGGGCTCAGGGAAGAGCTCGTGCCCTTCCCCTGCTCCCACGTCCCTGGCCATCCCCTTCCATCCCCAAGGACGCCACAGCGAGGTCCCCAGGGAGTGACGTTGTCCCCAGTTGTCACGGTGCGGATGGCAGAGTCTCCCGTGCCAGGTGACCGTGATTGGGCCCCGATGTCATTCCCAGCCAGAGGAGCTGTGGGATCTCTAATCCGCCTTAACCCCATCTCCTCCATCGGCGCTGGATTTCCAGCATCAAACCCCGGGCACTAATCCGAGTCCCGTGTTGTCACCCTGTCTCGGCACATGACATTGTCCCTCCTCTGCAGAGCTGGGCCCCCCGGCTCCATCTTGCCTTGGATTCTCCAGCTCCTCCCCGGCCGCTGTTTGCCCCCTGGCACCCTGGAAAAAGGAATGCTGAGGTCCCGGCTTTGCTTTCTGCAGGCTGGTGGCACTTGGAGGGGGTGCAGGAGTGACCCTGCTCTCCATGAGCTGACACTTCCTGCACCAGGATTAGATGAGATCCAAATTTGGGTGCCCACCCCACCCTGTCCCGCTCTGGTGAGAGGGTTGAACCTTCCTCCAGGCACCCTCGGCTGCGCTGCCCACCATCCCCTCTCCGCTCTCCCAGGTTCCTCCCAGCTCCATTTCCCGGCTGCCCTACGTGGAGCTGCGGCTCTCCAGCCATCCCGAGGGTCACGTTCTCCCTGTTTACCCAGCGCCCGTGCTGGTTCCAGCCTGACTTGGCGGAGAGGGAGCAGCAGCCGCAGAGCCCAGACGTGCCGAGTCAGCGCCGCTTCCCAGCGGAGGAGCTGCTGTCGTTCCCCACCGCCTCTCTCCCCATCCATCGATTTTTCTTTCGCTCTTTCACCCCGCTCACCCTCCCCGGCGCCGCGGCGTAAATGCAGTGACAGACCCGGCGAGGCCAAAGAGCCCGGCCACGGCACCGCCAATCCCTTCCTCCATGGAATGATGCTGGCACCTCACTCCTGTCACGCTCTCCCTCCTTCCCAGCCCCTCCAGGCATCTTTTCCCCCCCTTTCATCAGGATTTTGGCACCCTCCCTGCCCGGACCGGTGGAGGACAGCGCGGGTATCCACGCCTGCCGGGCTCCCTGGAGCCTTTCTCCCCACAGCCCTGTGCGCCCATCCCGGCACCGCCACCCCGCAGGAGCCGGCGGGGAGAGCCGGGGTCCCCTGGCCGCCGGGGGTCCGCGGGGCGCCGCCGGCTCCTGCCGGTTCCCTGCCTGACGCTGTGTTCTCCTCTCTCTTTCTCTCTCTCTCCCGCTGCCGGCGGGGCCGCCCGGGCAGGGAAGGCCGGATGGTGGTGCTATCCCTGGTTCTGGGACTCTCAGAGCAAGATGACTTTGCCAATATTCCCGACCTGCAACCCGCTGGGACGCAGCCGAACCAGGCGAACGCTCAGGGGGACAAGAGGTATGAGCGAGGACGAGGCCAGTCCCGCAGGAGGAGGAGACGAGGGCCTCACCCAGGGTGGAGGAGGAGGAGGAGGAGGAGGCTGGCCTCGTGGAGCGCGAAGGTTGGAGCGGCACAGGGTGGCCCAGCGGGCACCGGGACGTCTGAGCTCTCCCCGGCACCGGCACCCGCGGTTCTGCCTCTGGAGCGGCGGCACCGAGAGGACCCCCATCCTTTCCTCCTCCCTCCTCCCTCCTCCCTCCCCTCCTGCCCTTCCCGGCCCTGGCTGCATGCGGGGAGGGGGGTGGGGGACACGCTCAGGGACAGGGGGGAACGGGGGGCGCCCCCCGAGCGATGCCGCATGGGCTGAGCCGCGTTCCATCCCGACACGCTGCTGCCGCCTCCATCCCGGCGGGACGGGCAGCTCCCCGGGGACCCGGGGACGCCGCTGCGGTGGCGGGGGGGCACAGCGAGCGCCACGGGCCGGCAGGATGCCGTACCCCCGTTCTGCTCCGGCACGGCACGGCCCTCGCCTGCGGCTGCTCCCGCATTCCCGGCTCGGCAGCGCATCCAGCCCCGGCACCGGCGCCCGGCCGCGGCCACGGCGCTGGCTGGCAGAGGCAGAGGGTCCGTGCGCCGCCGGGAGCGGGTGCTCATCCCCTCCGGAGCGGGGAGGAGGTGTGAAGCCGGCGGGCGCTGCCTCCCCGTGTGGTCGGCGTGCGGATGAACTGGCACCGTTCTCGCCCGCCGGCTATTTTTACCCTGCTCCGCTTGGTTTCGCTCCATCTTTTAGCACTTCCCTCCCCGGCGTCGCGCTGCGCAGCCGGTCCCCGCCGGGAGCACCGGCAGCCCGTGCCGAGGGGACGGGGGACACGGCGGGTGGGTGGCTGTGCCGCAAGACCCCGCTCCTGCTCCCCGCTTGCCGCAGCTCCCTGCTCCCAAACCCCATCCCAGCACACGCATGGCGCTCCCCGCCTCCATCCCTCCCGCTCCTCGTTCCCCGGACTCCGCAGGATCAGCCGGCGGAGGGGACGCGCTCCGGCAGCCTCGGCTCTCTCCCGACCCCCGACGCTGCCGACCACCCGCTCTTCTTCCTCAAAACATCTCCTCCATCCCTGTTTCGCAGCTTCTTCCTTCCAGCCCGTCCCCGGCGGCTCCAGCCTCGGCGTGTCTCCTGTCCCGGCGACTCCGTCTGTCCGTCCATCCGTCTCCCGCTCCTCTCTCCCATTCCCTCCCGGCAGGCCGGCGCTGGACGACGCTGCTCCTCCTTTCTTTTGCTCTCTCCCGCTCTCTCTCCCGCTATCCGTGACCTCCGCCGGCATTCCCGGCTCCACCGGCGCCTCCTCGCTCAGCGGCCGCGCCGCCGGCTCCTCCACCTTCATTTTCCCTGTTTTTAACCTGATTTTGCCTCCCCAGCTGCCTCGGCCTCTCCGGTCCTTCCTGGGTGCCATCCCGTGTGTGCGTGTGGGTGTCCCCATCGCCCCCCCTCCATGTCCCCTCCCCGTGTGTGTCTGCGTGTGCTTGGCGTGGTGGTGCGTGTCCGTGGCATGTTGTGGCTTCCCGTGTGTCCCTGCGCCTCTCGGTCCGTCTGGTGGTTTGTCACCGTCTCCCAGCTCGGACAGGAGCCGTGGCGGGGGGGTGGGAGCATCCCGGGCTGCCTGTCCCCTCCGCCACGCGCCTGTGTCCCGTTGTCCCCGTGCCTCGTGGCAGCGTGGCCTCGGCGCATTCCCGCCTGTCTCCATCGCTGCTCTGTCCGTCTGCCTCCCGCCGCTCCCGGCTGCCCACCCTGCCCGGCGCTGTGAGTGTGGGGACAGCAGGACAGCGATCCCAGGGCTGTGAAGCGGGGCATGGGCAGCGAGCCCACGTGGAGCACCCGTGGGTGCCTGGCACCCACCGGGACAGGAGGGTGTTGGTGTGTGAGGAACAGCCAGAGCCGTGGGTGCTGTGGGGACCGCGCTGTCCCTGCCATCGCCGTGGGACGTGGCCAGGGGACCCGCTGCCGTGCCCCAGAGGTGCCAGGCCACCAGCTGGCGCTGGGACAGGGCCGGGACGCTGGCGGGCTGCAGCCACCGCGTGTCCCGGCAGCGTCCGTCGCTGGCTCAGTGCCCGCTGCAGAGGGCGCCCGGGAAGCCCCTCGCTGTCTCGCCCCCGGCTCCCGGCCCCTCTCCTCCAAGGCCTCTCTTCCCGCAGGTTGCCGGCCGCTGGGAAGGCTGGGAACGCGGCACCGGCACCGGGGCAGCCGCCGCACGATGAGTCCGACCGCAAGACGGAGCCGCACTCCTCCGTCTCCGACCTGGCCAACTCCCTGACCAGCGAGATGCTCATGGTGGGTGGGTGGGGTGCGCTGGGTTTGGGGGTCTCCACGCTCGGTGTCCGACCCTCCCGGCTCCTCCCCGCGCCATCCGCAAGCGCTCCGGCGCGTCCCCGCCCGCTGCGCCGAGTCCCGTCGGCCGAGCCGGCGCGGCGCGGACGTGTCCCCCGGGCTGGCACGGGGGAGCGAGCGGGGCTGGACACGTGAGGGATGCGCTGTCAGGAGGAATTTGGCTAATTGGAGCTCCCGTTCCGCGGGACGAGTGGCGCCGAGCCAGCAGCCGTCGGAAGCGGTGGGGGCAGCGGGAAGCCGGGCAGAGGCTGATGTCCCCTGACAGCCGGCGGGGCTGGGGTCTGGGGGACGGGGCTCGGGGTCCCCGCCTGTCCCCGGCGCTGCGCTCACCCCCCTCCTCTGCCGCCCTCCCGCAGCTCTCCCCGGGCTCCGAGGATGACGAGGGCCACGAGGGCGTCAGCCGGGAGAACCTGGGCCGCATCCAGTTCAGCGTCGGCTACAACTTCCAGGAGTCCACCCTGACCGTGAAGATCATGAAGGCGCAGGAGCTGCCGGCCAAGGACTTCAGCGGCACCAGCGACCCCTTCGTCAAGATCTACCTGCTCCCCGACAAGAAGCACAAGCTGGAGACCAAGGTCAAGAGGAAGAACCTCAACCCGCACTGGAACGAGACCTTCCTCTTCGAAGGTATGGATTGGGATGGGCTGGAGGGGATCAGGGTGGGAGCGGAGCCTCATGAGACCCTCCTGGGGTTCAGCTCAGCTCAAGCCACCAGAGTGGTGGCTGGTGGTGATGCGATGGGTTGGCCAAGCCACTGAGGCCGGGCTGGATGTGCATCCCATAAAGGGGATGAAAGGGAAGGTTTGGAAGGCTCCGTGCCCCCATGGGTGAGTGCAGATGTGGGAATTAATGTGGCAGCAGCTCCTTGTGCCGTGGGCTGTTCCCTGTCGTGCCAGGGTCTTGCCACCAGCACAGGAAGGGTGCAGCAGTGCTGGAACTGCTCCTCATCTCCTTTGGCTTTTCCACCTGTGCCACAGGGTTCCCCTACGAGAAGGTGGTGCAGCGGGTGCTGTACCTCCAGGTCCTGGACTACGACCGCTTCAGCCGCAATGATCCCATTGGAGAGGTGTCCATCCCGCTCAACAAGGTGGACCTGACCCAGATGCAGACCTTCTGGAAGGACCTGAAGCCCTGCAGTGATGGCAGTGTAAGGCCCTGGACCCCCTCATCCCCCTGGGGAGGGGAGGTGACTCCCTGTCCCTGCAGTGTCCTAACAGGGACATTTTCCATTTCAACATCTGACGGAGATTTTTCTCTTCCCAAATTTTATATTAAGTAGCCCAAAGTCTCATTTTGGGTCAAATCAAACTGTTTCAGGTAGACCTAAAATGAAAGTTTTTTCCTTCTCCTGCCTCCAGCAAGGCCAGAAAATGTCCCACAGGGGGTGGCCCCATTTCCTCCTGTCCTGCCCTGATTTTCTGTGCCTTCCCAAGCCCCAGCCTTGGGCTGCTCTGGTGGGGGTCCCATGCCAGCACCCAGCTCCCACAGAGGAGCTCTGGGGGGCGTGGGTGTCCTCAGGGAACACGTGTGTCCTGCAGGGAAGCCGTGGGGAGCTGCTGCTGTCGCTGTGCTACAATCCCTCAGCCAATTCCATCGTGGTGAACATCATCAAGGCAAGGAACCTCAAAGCCATGGACATCGGGGGCACCTCAGGTACAGCACGGGCTGGCCCCGATCCCGGGCAGCATTCCCTGGCTCCCATCCGGGGCTGAGAGCGGCTCCTCTCCCGCCAGATCCCTACGTGAAGGTGTGGCTGATGTACAAGGACAAGCGGGTGGAGAAGAAGAAGACGGTGGTGATGAAGAGGTGCCTGAACCCCGTCTTCAACGAGTCCTTCGCCTTCGACATCCCCACGGAGCGGCTGCGCGAGACCACCATCGTCATCACCGTCATGGACAAGGACAGGCTGAGCCGCAATGACGTCATCGGCAAGGTGGGTGACACGCCCGAGGGACACCCAGGTGGGAATTGGGGACAGCCAGGCCCGGGGCTGCCAGCGCCTGGTGCCACCTCCAGTGTGGAGCGCGGTGTGAACCCCTCGTGCTGGGTGTCACAGCCACAGAGGGCCGGAGCTCTCCCAGAAAGGCAGGGATGGAGGGATGGAGCATGAGGAGACACACTGGGATGGATCCCACCCCCTGGGATTACTCCCGGGGATGGGAGCGGTGGAATTATCCACGAAATCACCCAGCTCCTCGTTAGCACAACGATGACAAACGAGCGCCATAATCCCCATCCGTGATCCCCAAACGCCGCGCTGGGGTCGGGACAACTCAGCAGTGGGGATAAATCCATTAAATAAATCCCTGGATCAGCGCCGCGGGCTGCCGAGCAGGGGAGGAGGTGGCGGTGTCCCCTGTGTGGGCACATCCAAGAGCCTGATTCCAGGGATGGACAGGCAGTGGCCACGATATCCCACTCTCGCTTAAAACCCCGCCGTGGCCTGAGGCTCGCTAATCACTTTTGATCGCATAATTAGCAGCGAGCTCGGCTCCATCCCGGCTCTCCGCGCTGATCCGCGGAGCGGTGGCACCGGCTCCCCGAGGTGGCAGCAGCAGCAGCAGCAGCGAGAGCTGGCACACGCGCTTTTCCGCGGTGCCATATGGAAAACTGAGGGATAAAAATAGCGCGGCCCCGTGCCGAGCCCGGAAAAGCGGGGCTGGAGCAGTTTGGGGGTGAAGGCGTCAGCGCCGGGCCGCGGGATGGGTGGGCATGGAGAGGCCGCGGTGGCTCCAGGGATGCGTTTCCCGCAGATTTACCTGTCCTGGAAGAGCGGTCCCGGCGAGGTGAAGCACTGGAAGGACATGATCGCCCGCCCGCGGCAGGCGGTGGCACAGTGGCACCAGCTGAAGGCCTGAGCGCCCCCGCACCGCGGGCTCGGGGTCCCCCTTGCCAGCCCCCGGCCCCTTCCCGCGGCGCTCCCGGCCCGGGACCGGCGGGACAGCGGCCTGGCCGGCGGGAGCCCCGCGGGAGGACGGGGACGGAGCCCCCCGAGCCCCCCGGTTCGCCTCTCCCTGGGGCGCGGGGGTGCGGAGCCGCCCCCAGCCCCGGCCGAGGAGGTGCCAGAAGCGATGTCCCCCCATCCCTATTCCCACCACCGGGCAGGACTTCTGCCAGTGCTTCCAGCCCCGCTCCCGGAGCCCCTCGGCCCCTCCCCGGCCTCGCCCCCCGTCTCCCATTTCAGGGGGTCAGGCTGCGGGTGCCAGAGGGACCCCCCTCCCTCCCCTTTCAGCTCCATGAAACCTCTCGGAGCCGCCAGCGGAGCCACGGAGCCCCCCTGCCCCAGCTCGTCCCCCCGCGCCCCCACACCGAGGGGAGGGGACAGCCCCTTTTCCTGGGATCGGAAGCCATGACTCAGTTCCTTATCCAAAGCGGGCTCCTTCGTGCACTGCCTTCAGCCGGGTTCGATGCTTTACCTCCGTCTCGGGTTTCGGCGGGAGCGGGGGGGCCCCAAGCCGCCCTGGGGACCCCGGTCCTGCCCTCCCGCCCAGCCCGGGCTGGAAGGGGCCCCTCGGGGGAATGCAGAGCTCCACAGGGTCCCCTTCCAGCCGGGCTGATCCGGGCGCCGGGGCTGCCCCGGGAGCTCCGTGCCCACCCCTGGGGATAAAGGGTGGAGCGAGCGCTGGTGTCCCCATCGAGGGCAGGTGACATTCCCCGGGCTGGTGGCATTCCTTGGGACAGCCAGCCTGGCAGGATCAGTGCCAGCAGCAGCATCCCCGCGGAGCCCTGGGATGCACACGCCAGACCCCTTCCCACTCCACTCCCTGGGACCCCCAAAAACAGGGACAGACCCACCTGGGAGCCCCACAGCGGTGACAAGGGGGTCGGTGGTGGCTCTCCGTGGCAGACACCAGATCATCCTCAGTCTTCCTGCTCCCCCCGTGGCAACCTTGGCTCCCAGCAGCTCCCACAGCCCCAATTTAGACGATTTTGGACAATCTGGAGAGAAGTCATAATACTGCTATTACAGTAATAACAACGCTTTTAGGGACATTTGTATTTTTGTCATATTCTCTCTTTTTTTAACATAAAAGAGACTTACATGCCTGGGGAAGAGGTGGCAGGGCCAGGGCTGTGCCAAGCCGGGTGCCCCCCACGGCCCCTCAGGCACCCCGCTTTTCCAGGCTGGATTCCTCGTCCGCGGTCGGGCTCCCCGGGGGTTTGTGTGTTCATTTTTAACTCTAGAGCTCGTAGCCGTGATCTTGTTCAGGTTCTCTCTTCTTCATGTGACGGTAACATCCAACTGGTGTGTAAAATAAAGAAAAACAGGACAAAAAAAAAAAAAAATTAAAAAAAATGAAAAAAAAAGATAAAAAATCCAATAAAGAGCCCGGCCCGGCCTGGCTGGGGAGCGGCTGGAGCGGGGGGTGCCCGGCTGGCGATGCCAAGGATGGGGCGCACGGGTCGGGGCGCCTCCTTTGAAGAATCCTATTTTTGGGGAGTGGGGCCCCTCGTTTTCTGGAGGCAGCCCCTGCTCTCAGTAATAAAGGACAGTCAGTAACTGCCAGCGTGAGTCATCTGTGGGATGGGAGGAATGCAGGGGGTGGATCCTGGGGTGGGAATGGGGGCACCACACACGGGTGAGCACCACAGCTGAGTTGGGGGGGGGGGACATCCCCCCAGCACTGAGCATCCCCCCCAGCATTATCCCTCCTAGTCTTGAGCATTCCCACAGTATTATCCTACCCATCACTCTGGGATCCTGCTAGGATTGGGGTCCCCATGGGGGCGTCAGAAACAACACTGACCCCCGCAGCCTGCTTGAAGCCAAGTGAGTTCCCATCCCATCCAGGTCTGGCTGAGCTCCTTGGCATGGGATAGGGACTGGAATGTGGCTCCGAAGGGAAGGAAGAGGCAGGGAACCATATCCTGTGTCCTGGTGCCATGGAAAAGGCACTGGTGGCTGTTAAATAATTCACAGAATGCTGGTCTTAAATAAATAAATGAAACTCCAAACGCAGGGATGGCAGGAGGGCCATCCATGTCCTCCCTGCACAGGATAAGATCCCTCTGGATCCACCCTTCAGGCCCTGGGATACAATGTTGGAGGTGGCAGCAGGGGACAACGCTGTCCCCTTCCCACCTGCACCCCTGTGAGGGGAGGTGGCTGCTGCCTACCCACCAGCTGAGCCAAACCTGGGAATTTTGGCATTCCCAAGCTGCCAACGGCATTGGTGCCACCGATCTTGGCTCTGCCTGGGCTCTTACACCAACGCCGGGCTCCTTTTATCCTCCCAAAGCTTTGGAAGCGCAGCGCCCCGGGCGCTCCTGTTGCACGGATCGGCAGCGATTGCCGATCCCAGTGCCCGGTGCTGGCAGGCAGCGGGAGCAGATGGAAATAGCAGCGTGATCCCAGCTGCGGAGAGGCCACAAACCGTCGCACGCGGGGCCGGGGAGGAGGCAGGGATATATATAGGGACAGACGTATGGATGATGCACTGACGGCAGCGGGGACTCGCCGGTGCCAGCGGCCCCAAAATACTCGAGCGGAGCCGGAATCTGTCAGATCCCCCCCGACTGCGGCAGCTCCTGGCCCCGGTGTCACCACCGTCGTCACCGGTGCCTGCATCTCAACCCAGCTCCTTGGGAAAAGCTGGGTGGTGAGAAAAGGCTGCAGACAGGGAGGACCCCCCTATCCCACGTGTCAGAGCTCCTGGATGTGATCCCAGCCATGGGGACAGGCTGGTGTCATCCAGAGCCACCTGCATCCCAATTCCTGCCGAATGGGTGGGCTGGCAGGGATCTGCATGGAGCTGCCAGCATCAGATCTTGCCTGCATCAGGGGCTTGGAATGCTGAGGGTCTCTGGCAGGGTCAGCACCCTCGGGATCATGGATAATTTCTTGCTAATTATCAGCAGTGCCTCCCCAGACAAAGCAGCATCACTGTGGATCAATGGCATGAAGCCCGGGGAGACACCCAGAATTCCAGGAGTGTGTTCCTGGGATGTCGTGGGATCCTGGGATGCTCTGCCCTACAGTGATGGGTACCTGGGTGGGAAAAGGGATTGACAGACTGCACCTATTGGGAAGACCTGATTCAAAGTTCCTGCTAAGCCCCTGAAATTACCCCGGAGGAGCTGGCACCGACAGCTCCTGCAGATCCCGCAGCTGAGGAAGTTCCACGTGTCCAAAACAGCCTGTAGTGGTTCCTGCTGTGGGATGGGAAGTGGAGGGAAACGCCGGCAGCACCCGCCCTGCCAGCGCCGGAGCGGATGTGGCAGGAGCTCTGGCTGCCTCCCAGGCCCAGCCCCAAATCCACGGCCATTAAAAGCGGATGTGTGGTTTGAAACCTCCAGCGAGCTGCAGACCTCGGATCCCCAAGCTTCCCACCACACCGGCTCAGCTCGGAGAGGGATGGAGGGAATCAGGATTCCTTGGATGTCCAGAATAAGAGGAGCTGGTGGTTGCACACCAGGATATGTCACTTGGCTTGAGGGGATCCCGAATAAACCCTTCCCTGAGGCTGGTCCCCACCACTTTTCTCTCACAACAAATTCCTTGGATTCGTGCTTTTTATTGCCTGCTTTCGGTCCAAGAGGCACTTGGAGAGAGGAAGAGGAAGGATAAGGTGTCAGCCCTGGATCTAGTGCCCGTTTTGGGACAGACAGTGCCAGGCATGAGCCTCCTCTTCCCACAGAGGCAAAATCCTGTCCAGGTTGGAGACAAGCAGTTCTTCAACCCAGGAGGAATTTCCATGGGCTCCTTCCCAAATCTGATGGCCAAGAGGAGCCTGGTGGAAAATTCTCTCCCCCAGCCCAATTCCAGCAGCAGGATGGGGTTCTCAGGGTCTGTGCCTTTGTTCCCAAACCTCAGAGCTCTCCAGAATGATGGGATCCATGGAATGGATGCAGCCAGCATTGCTTTTTCCTGCGCTGCCCATTGGGACAGGAGTAAAGGATTTTCAGAGGGGGAGGAGTGGAAATGTCCCCATTCTCGTGGGGTGGCAGTGTGGGATCATCCCTCAGGGAAGGAGGGGCTGTATCCCAACCCAAGGCATCCTGGAGTAGGTGGGATAACCACTGGGATCCATGAGCCCTGCCAATCCAGGACACAACACTGCTGTCCCAGCTGGATAAGGCTGATCCTCAGACCGCTGGTTTTCCTTTGTGGAGGCTGTGAACTTCCTCCTTTCCCAGCCCTAGATGGGAGTTCCCTGGGAGGCAGGTGGAGGCTCTGCACCCCTTCAGGGGGACAGCGGCTCACGTTTCCTCAGGAGATCCCGTCAGGGCTGCAAATTCCCCCTCCCCATCCTCAGGCCCATCCTCCGGGGATACCGGGGCGGCCTCGGTGCCCTCCTCCTCCTCCTGCTGCTGCTGCAGGCTCTGCAGCCGCTCCTGCCGCGCTTCCATGTATTCCTGCGCCCCGTCCCCCACCAGCTGCACTTCATCCCCCACGCAGGGCGGCTGCCGGACGGGGTTGTGGTCGTAGGACAGGAGGCGCAGGGAGGCCAGGCCGCTGAGGTCCGGGAAGCTGGCGATGCGGTTGCGGTCCAGGTCGAGGACGCGGATGTGATCCATGCGCAGCAGCACGGGCGGGAACTCCTGGAAGCGGTTCCCGTAGAGCCAGAGCCCCCGCAGGCCGGCCATGCGGGGCAGCGCCGCGGGCAGCCGGCACAGCCGGTTGTCCCCCAGCTGGAGGCTGCGCAGCTCCGGCAGCTGCAGGAGGCAGCGGGGGAAGTGCGCCAAGAAGTTCCCCTCGATCCAGAGGCAGCGCAGGCTCTGGAGCTGGGCGAAGGCGGGCGGCAGCTCCTGCAGCCCGTTGCGGCCCAGGTACAGGTAGGCCAGGTGGGGCAGGTCGCACACGGCCTCGGGCACCTCCATCAGCTCGTTGCCGTCCAGGGCGAGGGTCCGCAGGTGCTGCAGCTCCGCCAGCTCGTCCGGCACCTCCCGCAGCCCCGCGTCGCTCAGGTAGAGCTTCCGCAGCCCCTGCTGAGCCCACAGCTCGGCCGGGATCTGCCGGCGCCGCACCTCCAGCCGCTGCTCGACGCCGTCGGGGCCCTCGGCGGCCGCCACCGGGACCCCGCGCCCCGAGGAGCCGCCGCTGCCCATCGCTCACCGGGACCGGCACCGGGACCTGCACCGGACCCGGCGGGGCGGCGGGAGGGCGACGCCGTAGCCATGGCAACGCGCCGCGGCCAATGGGAGCCCGTGCCACCGGGGAGAAGACCACGCCCCCGTCCCAGTCATGCCCCGCCCCGCCGTTCGCGCCCATTTAGGCCACGCCCACCGATCCCATTCATGTCCCGCCCCGCCGTTCCCACGGCCCCATTCCCGCCCTACTTGTCCCGGCTCTGTCCCCAAACCAGGCAGGACACCCTCGCACCCCAGCAGTCCCAGCCCCGCTTCCAGCAGCCTGGCCTCAGCGTCCTCACCCTGAATTCGGTGTGAGGCCCTAAATTGAGTGTGCGGTCCCTGGGCTGGGTGGGAATTCCTAAACTGGCAGGAGGGGCTCCCTGAGCTGTGTGTGGATGCATTGATTGGGTGGGGGTCCTTAAACTGGTGGGGAGTCCCTCTGTGATCCCGCACATCCCCTGGGACCCTGCCGGGAACCACTCCCTGGGGCACAGATCCCGTTCCCCATGATCAGGGAAGATATGGATGAAGCCTCTCCAAGCGCCCCCTCCCCGTGCCATGGCTGCCCACCCTGCGGGGTCCTTCCTCCTCATCCTCCTGCTTCCCACCACAGCCCTGCCCGGATTTTCCTGCCGCAAATCAGCTGTGTCATCCCAAAGGCGGCTCGGAAAGCTGGAAAGCCGGGCTCGTACAGCCCTCCAGCGGCAGCTGGCCAGGTGACACCCCCGACCACCCAAACCCCTCCTGCCAGCTTTCTGGGATGCAGGAAACCCCCAAAATGAGGGAGCAATCCAAAGGCATCGTGCAGGGTCTTTATTCCTCCTACGGGGATTTGGGAAAGGCCGAGGATGGGATCCCCAGGATGCAGCAGCACTTTTTGGGGGGGGTCACGTCAGGGGGTCATCGATGCGCCACAGGCTGGTGGGGCGGTTGTTGGTGCTGAAGCCACTGGGACTCGGGATCTGGACACCCTCCACAGATCTCGGGGCCCAGGTGATTGGGGTCTGTGCCCACCAGCCTGGAAAATCCAGGAGGGATTGGTGAGAGGGGTGTCTGCTCCTCCTGGGGGCTGTGATCCCCCCCAAACTCACCTGGTGCTACAGGGGCCATCTGTGAGTGCTGGATCAGGTACTGGTTCTGGATACTGCCATACCCCAGCGGCTTCTGAGGGATGCAATGGGTTGGGAGCATGGTTCCTTGGGAAAAGGGATGGGACAGGGGACATGGCTGCACCCACCTTCTCGGCTGTGACTCCCTTGGGTCCCACCTGGAGCTCCGGGGGGGCGAAGGGGGCCGGGTAGCCCATGGCAGGCTGGTACTGTGTGGGGACACAGGGATGGGATCCTGCTCACTGCCATGCCCAGGCAGCTCCCACTGCCTCAGAGCCCACTGGGAGCACTGGGACAGGATGTCCCCCTGCCCCTGCCACCCCGT